GTCATGAAACATACAGTCATCGCATTCGCAGCTTGGCTCCCACATCACTGTTGACAGTCATAACTTCGAAGTCGCAGATAATTTCGTCTCTCTTGGAACCAATATTAACAGCAACAACACAGTCAGCTTGGAAATCCACCACCATAGCAGATAGGTGCCATACAAAGTGACCAATCGGACATTTGTATGGAAAACTTGTTTATTTGACAGAGCAGGTTTACAATGATTTGGTGTGGATTGATATGACAATATGCTTCAATCTCCGAGCGTGTTATTCAGATCTCGAATTCATAAAATATTTTGGTTTGACGAAATATTTGTGCGTTGACATAATACAGCTACCTAACACACATTTCCGTTTTAATCTCGTTTCAGTAGGTGATCAATGTCAGAATAAAAATTATAGAGGTATTTGCACTGAGGCAAGCAGATGTACAGATCTGCCGTATGCCATGGCTCAGCTGAGCCTGAAAAGACGTGATATTAGCCGATGTGGATTCACAATATTCGAGGAAATTATCTGTTGTCCGTAAGTTGAACACCTGTGGTATTATATATACAAACTACATATATAAACGACATTTATAATCGTTTACTATTGCAGCTCCCTTTCCATTCCCACCACAACCATAAAAACACGGTCCGATGATCGTCCAGCTGTAAAAGGTGAGTTCAAAAACATATACCGATTTGTATGGCATAAAAATCGATTCTAACCGCACTTTTTCCCACCTGGCAGCTTGCATTGAAATTGACGAACAATTGCAGCCGCTGCTTACACCACACATTCTAGGCGGTACACCGGTAGAATTAGGTGAATATCCACATATGGTGGCCATTGGACTGACCGACACTGATGGTGCTGTGGAATATAATTGCGGCGGTACTTTGATTGGGAAGCGCTATGTTTTGACTGCGGCCCATTGTTTAGTCACGCGACAAATACCGGTTATGGTGCGTATGGGAGTGGTGAATTTTACGGATACCGAACAAATGAAGTCAGCGGTTGAAATTAAAATTAAGGTAACGCATGTTCATCACCGAATTCGAATATCGTCCTAAATACCATACATACTCCTGCAGAAAGTTCACATACATCCGGACTACACGAGTGCTAATGTTTATAACGATGTGGGCTTGCTGGAATTGGAAGACGAAGTTACTTACAGCAACAATGTGTTCCCGACATGCCTTTATACCGATCCAGATGATCCGCCAGCCAATTCTCCGCTCTTTGTTACCGGCTGGGGTGTCATCAATAGAAGCAGTAAGCAATACACAGCACATTAAATATATTATCGATATCTACTTGCTAAACATTTGCTTTGTTCTTGCTTGTAGCGCGTGAAAAGTCGGATGTTTTATTAAAAGCCCGTCAGACAATCGTTGACAACTCGAGATGTAATGAAAGTTACGTAGATAACGGTTTGACGCGCCGCAATAGAGACGGCATCATCGCTAGTCAGTTGTGTGCGCATGACCCGGGTCTAACAAAGGATGCCTGTCAGGGTGACTCGGGCGGTCCGTTGAATTTGGTGGTCGACGAGGCTTTGAATAAATACCGTGTAGTTGGTGTAATTTCAGCTGGCTTCAGTTGTGGCAGTTCCACTCCTGGTCTGTACAGCCGTGTGTCTTCCTTTTTGGACTGGATCGAGAGCATCGTTTGGCCGAGTGGATAGATTTGCTGTTATTTTAGGCTTTAACTTCGCAGAAGTGATAACTTTGAAACACGAAACCACCATATTGCCATACTTTCTCTAAACTAGTATTTTCTCAACTGGTTTAGGGGAAAATAATTAAATTAAGTAATGCTTGAATTTATACTATACTATTTATCGGCCCAAAGTAATAATTTTAATAAAGAAACACAAAATTCAGTTATCTAAAACTAAGGGATTAAAATTATTGGGTCAGAAAGACGAGAGAATTTGGTTCCCTACATTCATGCCAGCGATAAATTAAAAAAAAAAAATAATAATAATTAGACAGTGTTTAGCACCTTAATACAAAGTGAGGAAGAATTAACCTGGAATATGGAACATAAAGGTCTTTATCTTTTGGTGTTATTAAATTTGAAAGAGATTCCGAGTAAATTGAGAGAGGTTCGAGTAAATTGAGCGCGAACCAACTCGGCGAAAACTTTTTGTTTCGAGGTTGAAAGAATATCTTTTTATGTGGTATGAAGTTTGATCCCCATATGTTAATCAGTGTATTTTTTGGCAGCGTGAAAGTTTGTTACAATGAAAGGTTGCAGAATTTCTTTGAAGGTTCTACTTTAACACGAGACAAATGTTTTTGGTTTCAATTTCATCGAAAACTAGTCTCATACGAGTCGTTCATCCACTTTTTTTTAATGAAGATAACGTCGAAGAAGGTAAGGCACTTGAAAATTGTTGATTTGACATCGGAGAGATCGCGGAAATGTTTTGTGTATGAAGCGCGTCAGTGATAGACTCGTTTAAAATATCTGAAGCAATTGCGAAAACCACGTTGAGAAGAGTTTGCAGAAGAGATCGTAGACAACGTAGCTGAGGACTATAAATACGTCAAACACATCATTACTGGTGAGTAGGCGTTGGACGCTAATATGAAGTCGAAACTGTCCAACAATCGAGTGAAAGACACTAAAAACACAGAAATTTGGATTGGCATACATGTATTGGCTTAGGAACTTTTCTTGAAAACGATACTATAAGTATTAAAATATATGAAAATGTATTTTTTTTTTTGTCAGTACGGGTCAAAGGATGAGATGTATATGGGCCAATATCTCAAACAGCTTATGAAATTAAGAGAACATCTTCTATATAAATTGGTTAACAGTTTCCTCAAGACTGCATTATTGACGTGGAACATGTCGTTTGGCATTATAAGGTAATTTATCGTTATCTTGCACAACACTACAAATCTTAGTTATTAGGAGAAATAAAAATATATCGTCTGAGTTTGAATCTTACTCTTCTATAATAATTGTTTCATTATTACACTCAGATTAACGCTTTCAGACAAAAGATGTGTGGAACTCGAGGCGATCTACATATATTGTAACAGTTCAAAATTTCCACTGAATATAGCAAATTGATTTGTTAAAATCTGACAATATATCCTCGAGGACGTACGAAATGTCCTGAATGAGCCCAAACTAATAAATATTAGTAGAGCTTAAAATTTCAACTGAGAATTGATGAGGCCATAGACAGTTTGTATTGCTAGCGCTTTATTTCTTTAGCGCTAACATTTAAGCTCGACGTAAATTGACAAAAGCGCCTTGAAATGCTTTAAACAAACAATAAAAATAAAGGCATATGTTATATTCCTAGTAAGGGTTAATTTATGTCAGAAGTAATTTATGTATGACAGTAAAAAAAATTGTGTTATCAATTCTGCGAAAATTATTTAAAAACAAGGTGCGCGAAGTTCAAGATATAGTAAAACAATGCCGCTTAAGATTATAATATTTTTTTCAATCAGCTGTACGTATAAGCGTTGAGGCACTTTATCACTTCCACTTATTTGCTGGCATTTCTTTGAAATGGACGATAGTATTAAAATTTGGTTGGATTTCCCCGAGATTCATTCAACGTCCATCATCTGCAAGCTAACAACTTTGGGGATTTCATGATGAATCATTATTAAGAGGAGAAAAATATCTTAGCAGAAGCAGAAAATTCGAATTTGTTAGATTTGCAGCTCTTTCCTTCTCTTTGCTAGAATTGAGATATTACTTTGCTCTCAAAGACAGCTGAGATAAAGATTACAGACAAATTAGTTTGCTCAAAATATTTTGCTCAAAACAAACACAACAAATGAGAATTATAAATGAGCTGCCAGGGTACTACAATTAATATTCTTGATCTCCTCCTCTTGGGAGAAATATTTTTACTCTTAATATTTTAAACGATTTCCTCAGCACTCTGTTCAGTCCGAAGGCAACAACGTAACATGTATTTGCATATGTCAAGCGTTTCTTCTCTTCTCGAAAATAGTTGCCCATAATTCTTTTTTTTTGGGGTCCAAGTGAGTTATCAGAAAAAAAAGAGACATTTGCTATCAGATCAATGTTATATTTTATTTATTTATTTGTTGTAGATTATCTTTTTAAAAGGTTGGCCGCGGCTACATCTCAGATGGTCCATCCTCTGAGTTCAATTTTCTCTGACTCGTTCGAGCATTTCGACTGGTAACTGGGGAATGCCATGCTGTTTTTTTTTGTGATCCAAGTCTTGAATTGAAGCGACATTGCCCGCATGGACCTTAGACTTTACGTATCCCTTAAAGGTCTTGGTGGCCAAACGAACGGCCCAAATCGTGAAATTATCTGCTCAGCGACTTGTTCTCTCAATATATCCATTAGTTGATGCGATGTGGCGCCGTCTTCTTGAAGCCAAATGTCTCTGACATCATGAGCTTGAAATTCAGGCATCAAATAGTCGGTTATCATGACGCGATAACGGTCGCCATTTACTGTAACGTTCTCACCGGCATTATTTTTGAGGAAATAAGGACCGATGAATTTTTTATTTCGTTTTTTTCTGAATGAAATAACAGCTCTTGAATCTCTTGAGGTTGCGCTTTGATCCAAATATGGCAATTTTACTTGTTTAAGATAGGTATTGAGCTAGAAATGGGCCTCATCAATGAATAAATTTTGGCTCGAAAATGTCGGATCTACTTGGAACTTTTCAAGAGCCTATATAGTGAAGCGATGTCGCTTGAAAAGTTTGATTGGCTTCAGTTCAGAAATGCTCGATGTTCAAGAAATATTCTATGCCATCTATGACTTACTTTGTATACGTTTTTACTAACATCAAATAAAAAAAGCTGTAACAAATAACATAATTTTACCCACATAACTGGCAACTCTATGGGGAATTTGCGTTAACGCTTAAAGCGGAAGAATACATAACAAAGAGCGCAGCTTGTCTGATTCTTAAAAACCGGTTTCAAATGAATGCTCTTAGCTACATATTGGCTTAAGTATAATTTTTGCTCACACAACGTTCGGCGCCACAGAAGCTAACAAGTTGTGCGAAGATTTGTTTCATTTGGCTCGCTACTGTTGTTAGCTGCGGTTCATTGTCCGTTTAAGACCGCAAAACGTGTACAATAGAAGTTAACTCACTACAAAATATATATTAAACAATAAGTTTTAAATAAAGATTTATTTTTAAATAAAGAGTTATTACTAGTGTCAATATAAAAGAACGGTGAACATGTTGAAAAATTATTGGCAACTGTCGGTCTTCTTATTTGTGTCCATTTTCTGCCTAACACAGGCAAAGCCGCAAGAAGTGGTGTTATATGGTGAGTAGAAAGCACAGTTGTAGCTGTATTGGTGAAAAGTGATAACAGAATTTAAGAAATATTTTTTTAATGTTTTGCTAAAAAATATATAGTTTTAAATATATGTGTATTTATTTCACCAGAGGGCGATGAGTGCGTTACAAACAGTTATGATGGCATCTGTTCGGTGGAGAAGCAATGCCCGCATTTAGAGGCCACGATGACTGGAAAAGGTCTGCTGGCCAGAGATGTTGGCCACTGCGGCTATACGGTCTACGAGGAAATCATTTGTTGTCCGTAAGTAATTCTGGGCTTCCAACCACTAGAATAAAACTGATGTGTTTGCACTCCTTCTACTTGTAGTTCAAACAAACCGGAACGCCCATTATACAATAAATATTTCGCCCCCTTGGTTATTCAACAATCGATAACATTAATTATCACCTCGACTGCGTTCATACAAACGGAGAAAATCGGCGATCAATTGCTATTCAGCCAGTTCAACATGACACTACTCAATTAATATTATAAGCATATCTTCTCTATTATTAAGTATAAGACCCGAGGTACATATATACACAAACACATACATTTGTACCTACATATTTACATATTAGCATGAATACATATTCGTTTGTAATATCTCATAATAGACTGCAATAAATTCATTGTAATCCAAAATAGAAAATTCCCATGAAATTTAATCAGTGTTAAATATGCGCTTAGCACCTCGTTATGTACACTGCATATAGTATATACACACACCTACATATAATGTAAAAGCAATACGTATTTAGTAAAATTATAGTTTTCGCTTGCTCTTCGCCTGATGCGAGTGAACTTTCATTTGTTTTCGACAGACACCCAATCAAGAAGTAAAAACTGTTTATAATTTTAACTAAAATATATACATATACATAGTATGTATATAAATAGTATATAAATGTAATATATATTGATATAAACATTTGTGTTCTTCTAATCAACAATATACATATACAAGTATACCATGTAGTATATGTAGCTTTGCTTGAAGACAATCCACTAATCAACAGCGCATCTCACTTAACTCGACATATTTGAAATAACTAAAGGGTGATACATTTCCAGGTTCTCTACTTTTTTAAAGGAAAAATACAGAAACTTCAATTTTAATTTGAGAATATTTATTACTTCTAATATATTTTTTGAAAATTATCTCTCAAATGTTGTCTGCGGCTACATCTCAGATGGTTCTTCCGTTGAGTCCAATTTTCGATGACTCGTTCCGGCATTTCGACTAGTGACGGGCCAATGACATGTATGACGTTTTGCTCCAAGGCCTCAAGCGAAGCACGATAGTCCGCATAAACTAAAGTCCATAGTCCCAAGGAAAAAAGTTTAACGGGGTGATTAGTAGCAAGGCTACGACATTTGACCCGTGAAAGACTTCTTTGATTACTGTAATATGGTTTCCCTTGAATTTCTTTCTTAGGATCATCAATATTCTAGGCGTATTGGACTGCGATTTATTCTCAAAATATTCAATAGAACTCGAAAGTAATTTTACTGAGCCTCCTAAGCCATTTTAGTGAAAACATGTTGGTGATCTACCGAAAATAAATAAAAAAAAGTGTGGTAATTAGAATATATTTAAGGCATCGTTTATTCATTAGTTTCTAAAAACATTTTCAAAATTCTGTTCCCTTCTGCTTTTGTATCGGTTAAGATCTTATTTTGTTACAGAACATAATAGTTGTTAGCTCGCTAAGGTCTTAGCTCAAAGAGTAGTTTGACAGCTTAAGTTCTATAAACAAATCCATTACCACCAACATTTTTAAGTGGAAAATACTCAACACAGAAATGTTCTGCAATAATTAAATAATATCAAATGTGCTCAAGAACAAAGCAGCCGTGGTAAAGTTTCTAATTTCCAGCTATATACCGCAGAGCACTTGTCACCGTTGCCTACCGCAATGCCAACAAAGTTCAGCCACTCGCCGACTGCGTGTTGAAGCAACATGTGTTTGTTACATTCACCAGACGCGGTTCGGCGTGTCATACTAAAATACATAATAACGGTTGTTTTCTCGTATTTTATACGGCGCGTTGCTTGCTCTTTCTTGGTCAGCTGCTTTGCGCCAGCAATTCGTAAACAAAAACAATGAGTGCGCTCCAACGCCTTAACATATGCAATGCCTATTACTCTCTGAGCTTTAAGCTCCTCTAAGGTGACCAGCTGTAACACAAACATTTACAGGCGGCTATTAAAAGCTCAGTGAAGTGATTTTTATATGTTGCATGCCACAGCAAAAACTTCAGTTGATGTCGGGATGCGATAGTCTTTAGACGTGCGCTGGCCAAACAAAACCGAGCAAAGGAAACGGATATTGTGGATAACAGTTAATTTGAAAAGAAAAAAACAAAGCAAAAATGTATGGTGTGGAGTTTGGTTGTGTCTGCAGTATAATTGAAAATATTTGAAATTGGAAAGTTGAAATAAAATTGTGGTTTGGGTTTTGGAATTATAAAATAATTGGAATAAGTAATGAGGAAACAAATAATGAAAAATTAAAAGAAAATTAAAAAATAAATTTAAAAAATTAAATTTTGAAAAATTTAAAAAAACTACCAAAAATATGGGAACAAAAATTTTGAAAAATTAAAAGAAAACTTTCAAAAAAGTTTTGAAAATTAAAAATTTTTTTTTTAAATTTTAACAAACTTCAACAAAACAAATAAATTTAAACAAAAATTTTATAAAATTTCAAAAAAAAAAAATTAAACAAAAATTTAAAAAAATTTTAAAGAAAAGTTGAAATTAAAAAAAATTGAAAATTTTAAACAAATTTAAAAAAAGTAAATCAAAATGAAATAAATAAAAAATAAACAAAAAATTTTGAAAGTTAGAAAAAAAATTAAAAAAAATTTTAATTATTACAAAATTTAAAAAATTAAAACAAAGTTGAATGAGTAAAAAATAAACAAAAAAGTTTCTTCAAAATGAAAACCAGCTTGAAATAATGTTTACAAAAAAAAATATTTAAAGTGTTTGCCAATACAACTCTGCAAATTAAATTTATGTAATTATATACAAAATATTACAGTAAGCTTAACTCAAATAACAGTGTTATATATACATGTACAAATGGAAAAGTGTATATATACTTAAAAGCACACCTACATACGTTGACGCCCTGTCGTGTGTTTAAAAAATTCCGCTTTACATCCAGTATTCGCCCACAGCTCGACTGTACCTTCCTACTTACTTCATTGCATGTAGCAAAAAATAAAAAATAAAAAATAAAATAAAAACAAAAAAAATAAACAAAAAAAGTTAAAAAAAAAATTGTGTAGTTCAAACATTTCAAATTGCCAGCCCCTTGCATGTGACCTGACAATTGTGCTACTCGACATAGCCTACATTTAGGGGCCAAAAGTCAAATTGAAACTAGTGAGTACATAAACACTGCGGCGTTGTAACAATTTCGGGCGTCAGTGTGTCATGCCAACGGACAGCCGGTGGCAGACAATTTGTGACAGTCGGAACTGGTGCACCTGTTTCGCATATTAAATGTCAGTGTTGGAGCGTTGCGTTGCGTTGATTTTTAACACAATTAGTATTGCAGTTATCGGCCTAAAAGTGGGCCGCTAGGAATAACAACTGCATGCCGACAGCCAGTGCTGCAGGCTAACCTCGATTATTTGTTGCAACAACGGTGCGCTCCGGGGAGCACACGTGACCGTAGTAAAGCGAGCTGTTCCGTTACATATATGTGTGCTAACTGTAGTTACATTGTTGTTGGTGGTGACAAAGTAAGTTGCACTTTGAAATACCAGCTATGAGAAAATATATATATATGTATGTAAATGTGTGTGTGTGTGCGTGTGTGCGAGTTTATTGTAGCAAGTGCACTCAAAAGTGTACACATAAATATTTAAAAACACACATGCAAGTGCATAAGTGAGTGCATGTGGGGGGCAAACACTTTGTAATGTATACATTTAGGCGCATATGCCGGTTGGGTGCATACTAAGCGCCACTGTTTGCACAATTTAATTGGAACGCGTGTGCTTTTTGGCATACATTTTTAATTTGAGGCGATTATAACGGTAGTGTTAGACTACTTTTTTCGCTCCCTACTCTATGCTAACTAAAATCACCATTGATATGGCAAATTCTCAACGTAAAAAAAAATTGAAAAATATTGCAGCAATATTTATTACATTTAATAACTCGCACGTGTGAAAATTTATGACTGAAATTACTTAAATTAATTTATGGTCTAGCTTAGCATTAGTGCATTGGCATTATCGCCTAAAAATGTGCTTCCCTTCTTAGTCTCTGTGTTGGCATTCATCGGAATTATGACACCTGTGCAAGTGATTGCTTTTTCCCAAAAGCTGATAAGTGTTTTCATTTATGGCCAAATTAATTTATATATTTTCGCAATAACGACAATAACAATATTTACAACGTTTACCACCGCCGCGTGTATTCAAAAAGAAAAATATTTGCACTACTGCTGATAAGTTAGTCAAATAAAGGAGGCAAGCGCTCTTGTATCGTCACGTCACTTTGTAGCCGCAGTGTGACCTTGTAAAGTAAAAGTATGGAAGGTATGCATATGGTCGGTCATACGAGGTGGGTTCATGAGGCGCTGTTGTAATCAGTGCGATTTCTTTCATTTGAACATACCTGATAGCATCATATTATATCACCAAAATATACCACCATATGTGCTGTAAAAATTAACCAAAATTAAAATTGTTATTATCTTGGGTATATGTGGTTGATATTAATGCGTAAACAAGATTGAGCTGATGTCGATTGTTTTTACAAGAATATTGTCAGATGTCCGAAGGGGAACTGTTTGTGATAATTAAGATATCGAGTCTCTATTGCTATCTATATATCATTATATAAAAAACAATGACGTACAATTTTATACGTTTGCTCCTAAAAGCAGACACACCTTCGTAGTTTAATAGACTTAAAATAAATTGCTCACAAATTGAAAAAATTTGAAGAACATACACCTTGGGCAACTATCTTAAATTTCTAAGGGATTAACGTAATTAGATAAATCAAAAATAATATTTCTTTTGACATTACTCGTCTGTTATATGTTTTTTTTGGAATATTGCTTTCTCTCACACACACACACACACACACATTTTCATACTATATTCATAGACTTGTCCTGTTGAGACAAGTTATCACTCTTATTATCTCGACCGCAGTTATAATGTTAAATAGTCAGAGTGAATTGGAACCAATTTTTTGCCTGAACATTATTTTTCATCAAAAGATCCTCATCCATGATATGTGCAATAATATCAAGATGCATGCTTCAAAGAAGTTGAGCATATTATTAAAAGAGTACTCGGACATCGCGTATTTTCTTGACTTTTTGCTGTTGGTATGGAAGTTCAATTTTATTTCAGAAAGTTTGACGAAGCAATAAATTAATGTGACCAAACCTGTTGTTGCATTTTTTCACGGTTTGGAGCAGGTGCAAGTATACAGTCTACTTAGATGACTGTCAATTGCATTTCGAAGTGAAATGATCTAGCCATCTTTCATCCATTGTTACTTATTGATGCAAGCACTCGGGTGTATTATGCTTGAATATCTTAAAATACTGCTCCGAATCATCAATTCGTCATTGTTTTTGATTAAATGTGAGCTCGCTCGGATCGCAATTTGTATAGAGCTT